TACAACAACACATTGATTTTATTCTAAATTTTGAGTTTGGAATAGCATAATTTCTTGCTGAACAAAATGTGTTTATTTTGCCAGTTTCATTTTTAGATAATTATTGCTAATTACACTGTAAGTTTTAATACGTTGTAATTATTTATTAAATAAAAAATTAAATTCTTTTTTTTTTTCATAAAAGTGTGATATGCAGAACTTCATGCGTTATTGTTAAATTATCGGCAACTCTGACAACTCCATACAAAATGCTAATACGTTATTATATGTGGGTATTATATATATATATATATATATATATATATATATATATATATATATATATATATTTATTTATGAAAGATAATAAATATTTTTACCATTAACATTTATTATATTTCTTTCTTTCTTTGCAACATCATACCAGAAACCGCAATTTACTGTTTGTAAATTACTCATTTTCATTTGGTTAACAACTGACAATTTTCTTTCCATGTAATCACATATATCTTAAGCAACAGCAAACTTTTAAGCAATAGCGGTATTGTTTTGCAGGTATGTTCCTATAAATTCATTTTTTTTAGCATAAGTTTAAATTCATTTAATATAATAATTAAAATTATGAATAAATTATTATTGCAAATTAATTACGAATAAATTTAAACATTTATCAAATATTTTTTATGGTATCTCATTGTATAGATTTTTATTGTCATAATCAATTTCTTTGGTTATAATCAAAGACCATTGAATTAAATTCAAATTTAAATTTGGTACAAGTTTTAAATAACTTTATACTTGATACTTGTAAATCACGTATAACTATTAATAAATAAATATGTTTTAAAAACAAAATATATTCTTTTTTGCATTTTTTTATGTTTGCGCTTTATTTTTCATAGTATTTATTTTATTTCGGTTACGCATGTTGCCTTCCAATAGTAATAGTAATTAATGTCATTACCATATTCATTACAGCCGGTATCATCGATATTAGCGACAAAATAAATTAAAATGATTACAAAGATCAAAAATGCGATCAGGAATCCAACGACGTATGGATTGCGAAGCGGATGGGTTCGCACTGCGATTGGCATCTGCAATATACATATTGTTTGAAATTTGATCTATTTTGTCTTGTATTTGATATGTTTGATTATGACTGATAATTGAACAAAATGTGTCTAATACATGATAGACATGAGTTAAACATGTGGCCCATGTAAAGTTGGACTTACTATCAAATCACAATCGGGAAACAAGACTTATTATTTATTATACATAACAGATTCAAGGCAATATCATTTGAGATAAAAAAAAATAATTACCTCAGTACGTCTGTTGGTTGTTGGGAAGGTCTCAATCGAGATGGATTGAGATTCCTTTACTTTGTCGCCCTGCACAAACAAGCATCGTCAACGTCTAAAAAAACGTCATTACATCATACATACACATATGATAGAGCCGTTCAAGAGTTTTGGGTATCACCGCCTCAGTTATGTTCCGAATATAGGAACATAGACATAGATGCAATTTGGAATGCATTCAAATTAATACTACCGAGTATTTGATAATCAAACTTGGTAATTTAATACAAGCCGTATTGGTTCTTGATTTGGAATTTGGCGTAATATTGATAAATAAATGCCATTCGTTTGTTATTGCTCAATTTGTTGAGGCTTTCATGTCCTAAATGCGAGAGAATATTTTACAGCTATAAATCAAATTCGCATACCATTAACGGCTGGAGACACTCGCTTGTCTTATTGATCGAGTCGTAAGAAGTCATCGAGGAACAATACGTCGGATTTTTCTTCCAAGCTAAAACAACATGTACGGATAAAACAATGTAAAGCCAATGCGTTTTACTAGCATTTGTGAGATGTAATTGTTGTAAACATGATGAACAAAATGATTTGACAAATTTAATATTTCATTTTTATCGAAGCAAATGAATTCCAACTTCCTTTGAATATCCTCTGTATGTATGTACATACCGGCCAAACAGGAAATCCAACATTCAATAGAATACCTAGATTGGAATGTCTGAACTATCCAACAGTGCGCGGATGAATTTCATATTTCATAGATTGCTTTCAACAATGGCCGGACATCACTCTCAAAAAACAGTGTATACGCTAATTTTAAAATTAAATTTGGCGGTATTAAAATTAAATGCGCCATAAATATTTATTCTCAGTATTTAACTATTATCGCCATGCTGTGTTGTATTGAACGTTTATAGTAGTGGTGAACAATTGAATTGAATCAATTTTTAGAAAAATTATCTCCTGTATCCTCCTAACATCCTCCTCAATTATCATAAATTAAACCAAAAATTAACTGACAAAAAAATTGATACTTACGTGAGATCAAAGTGCCTAGTTGCCGGGAACTGATATCAGGGATGCCTGCCCTGACCGAATGCGTCAGAAGTAGCTAAAAAGTAGTAGATCTTAGAATAACTAAAATAAAATTAAACATAGTCAGGGTTTAATCAATATTTTTTAAATTTTTTAATAAATTTTAAATTTATTTTTATAGTAACGCTAATTCGGAAAATTAGTTATGAATTAGTTGTGAAACAAAGATATGCCTGCTGCATTTTTCCAAGAGCGACAAATATTGGAGTTTCTTTGAGCCAAATTATATAAAACACTATTTATATAAAAAATGCACTTTTTACTATTTGAAGTAGTTAGTATTTCTATCAAGCAAACACATTATTATAATGGTAGTTTTGTACCCTTATAACGTCACAAGCGTCAAATGCAAAAGTATATAAACTGCAAATATTACCCGAATAAAGTTAGTTCATATCCGCAACATATCCCCGTTCTAGCCTGCTCTACAACCAACTGCATTTCCACCTTTATTGGAACACACAATCTAGTTAATTGTCCCTTTACGACCAACACATCAAAGGTGGATTGCTGCCAGTGAGTCGTTTTTGACTATATAGTGAACACAAATTGGGAGTGTTCGATGGACTACAGCAAGTCATGTCAATATCACGAATATTCCTGCGTTAACTATCCGTTGACAAGGTGAAATTGATACCACATCAACAACATAAAGCATTCTGGCTTAAACTATAGTGGCTGGTAAATTGAATCCGGACGAAGGGAAATTAACCTAGCAACTTTGATTGAGGTAACTTTGCTGGTTGAATAAAAAGGAAAATTTTTGTTAATATAGTTAAAATGCAGTTGTGTACTGATGTAACAAGTTAATGTTGTCATTATGAACAATTTGAGTAACTTTTAACAATTATTGTTTCTAGTTTCATGTTCTACATCACAGAAACTTTTATAATTAATAAAAAATTTACAAAATGTAATTTGTAATTTAAATTGTTCATATTTGGGTACATAGATGTATTTAAAAATTAAAAAAAAAAATTGAATCGGGCGGCAAATTTTAAATATTTAACTCATAAATTTTCACGTTTCTTTCAACTTTCAAAGGAAGTCCATTCAGCAATAATTAGGTACTAGAAATGATTAGTTCAATTCAAATTCAGCAAACAACCGCATGATAAAGTGTTTCTCGATTCAACTTTGAATTATCAAAACAATTACTACATTTTGTGCTTGTTTCTGTTATTTAACTTGATACTAACTTTTTGTATCTTTGATGTCTGTGAGACCAAAGACAATTGCATAATGCACACTTTATTAAATGTATATTATGCTTACCTATTTTTCGCACAAAGCACTATTTTCGGTTCTGGACTACTTCTTCCTGCGGCGGCTGAACTAGGAAGTGCGCTCCGCTGGTACACCGAAGTTCTACTGTGAACACTCTACTCGTATTGCTGCACCGGTGCAGCTGCCCACGGCGCCCTGGCAACGGCGCTCGCGCATGGTAGGTAATATTCGCTATCGTCGCAAATTGTAGGTAGTCGATATTTGTCCAGAGACACTAAACAAAATTAAAATAATTTTACAAATATATAAGTAAATTGAAAATGATTGAAATCAAAATAAAATAAAAGTTTGTATTTTATTCGAAACAAATATTATAGGAAAGCACAATGTATTCGCATATAAGCTGCGCTTTTCTTAGTATACGAGTATAATGGAATGATTTCAGGAATACTCTAAACGCTTCAAACGTTAAGAATGTTTTGCATCATCAAAGCTTATAGCATCTTCAGAAATACCTATTTGTTGTTATGTCATACTACCACGTAAATCATAAACTTCGCAGAACCCTAATATTAACAATAAAAGTTACACAAATTGTGGAAAAATAGTGGACATACTTGTACAAATAAAAACGCAAAAGTGCTTATCAATTATCATCTGATAAAACATAATTCAAGGTCAAAATCGAAACAAACGAATATTTTTTACATTATATTATTCAGTCAAATGTTTTTTTAAATTTTCAAGTAATAAACAAAATTCGTTTATTGACATTATTCCGCACCGGATGTATTTGCCGGAATAAGGACGCGTTATGCGCCTGCAGGATAAAATCCGCTAGCTGATTGGGCTGGCATCACATATATCAAAATATATTATTTTGTCTTAGAAATCATAACATTTAACAAACTGAGCAACCGTACAGTTGCAACAGTTGCTTTTCTATCAAAATGTCAAAAGAATACAAAGTGTCGACTTTTGAAGGTAATTTCGAATTTTTCCTTAATTTCAAGGGGCGACAAAATTTTATTGTTTAGAATAACTTTTCTTCTAACATAAAATGGAAAAAATTCAAAAATAGATCAGGCACTTTTACAGATCTTTGGGCAAAGAATATGTTAAGAAATAACTCCGCATGTGGTCTCGAATTCAAAGTCTCTTATTTATTTCACTAATTATACAATCTCTATGACTCACGATCTCGACTTCTCTCCTGTTACACGGTCGTCTCTCTGCCGCGTTCTCTCGTCGACCCCTCACTGGTCTGTCGTCTCTCGCACCGCTTCAGTATCCATCCCCCTTCACTCGCAGCGCTTGCGCGCAGTTCAGCCGACTACGCCACAAGGCCGTACTTAACAAATACATAAAACGTATTGTATATAAATTTATTTAGTTTTGTCCATTTAAATAAATAAAAGAATAAATAACAAAAGCATTTGATATGTAATATAATAGTACGGTGCACATAGAAATAATGATCCATCAGTTAAAAATGTCTGCTGCTAATATATGCGCTTGTCTTCTTCGTCTGCGTTCCTTTAGAAACATTTGCAATTCGTTGTTTTTAATAATTGCAGGATCATTTTGTCCGTCAAAAGAAGTCAACCCAACTATAGTATTACCATGAGAAGCAGCTCTTCGATTGGGTCTCGTTGTTTCCGAATCAAATAACTGAATACTTTCAGCATCTAACGAATATCGGCGTGTGTCGTCTGTGTTGCTCTCCAAGTCTTTAAAATAAGTATGTGCCTTTTCAAAACGTTGTTTAATTTTTGAAGTAATCGTGATGTTTTCAGGCAGCGTCGGTAATTTTTCATTCGGTACCTGAGTCGATGCACTTGATCCCATCTCAAAACCTAATCATAAAGATAAGATTATATATTTTAATAGAAAAAAAAATGAAATATTTGTTGTTTTCACTTACTTTTTATTTTCTCATGTATTGACCATGTATATTTCTCTCCTCTGACTGCATACAATTCTTGCTTGTCGAGGGATTTACTGGGCGTTTGGTTTCTTTGCTCGTTTAGATACATTTCGCGGCGATGTCGAACACTAGGGAAATTCAGATCGTCTACAGATCCAAATCTTCCTGCCTCCCTCGTGGGAGTGGCAACCTTTTTTCTTTGGCGTACGAAATCCAAAGATCTTGATCTTAACTCCAAGTTTTTGGCACTTTCGCTTCTCGTCAAGTTTCTAACAATTGGGTGCTGAACGCTTAACTTTTTAACGTCATTTGCATCCAGTTTACTACAACTTGTATGTCTTGAATTTCTACAACTATCAGCACTCTCAGCAAGACTCATGTTGGACATCGACATATTTGCCCAGAAGGCTTTCCTCCTCAAGAAGTGCTCCTTGAATTCATAACCCTCAGTGCAGGTACTTGAAGTATCTAATAGACTACCATGTGAATAACTATGACTCCGAGTACCGGCGATGCATTGTCCTTCTTGAGGGTGTTGCTTAAACATCCTGGAAGCCATCGTGGCGTCGTGTGCTTCTTGGACGTTATCTTGTGATAACGCGGAAGCAGTCACGGAGTCATTGCTGGTTGCCTGCTCGCTATGCAAGTTCGGGTCGGATTTAGAAAGATCATCTTTGCTTTGCTCATCTTTACAACTTATAAAGTCTTTACTGTAGACCCTCTTATGGCGATCAGTCGTGTTTTGGTTAAGAATAAGATAACAGATATCTTCGTTGCTTTTCACCATAATATCGTTGTTATTGACTTCGTTTTCGTTTAAATCACTTCCGGTGCCACTACCGCCAGAGAAACTGATTTCTTCACTACTACCTTGCAGCTCAACGCTTGAAGATAAACTGTCTGGATCTATATCGTCATTGACATACGTCCCAGAGTCTTCTAAACATGATTTCTCTGTTTTGGACAATTTAGAATAATTGTTTTCATTGTTAGTTTCAATTTCTGTAATTTCCTTGTTTATTTCTGTTGCAGGTTTATTTTGATTGGCAAGTAATTCATTATAGTAGAAAGCTGGTTCCTTGTTTGCCATACTCATGTCATGATTATTTGTTCTCTCTGCATTGATATCATTATAACTACAAACTTGTTTGATGTTTTTAGTTTCGTGAATTGTTTCAATTTCTTTAATCCTGTTTTGATCATTAGTAGCCATCTCATTAATTTCATTATTCATTTCAACTCCAGATTCATCTATTTCAAAGTTAACATTCTTCAATTCAGGAATATTTCTTAAAGTGTCTATGATGTTTAGGCCATAATTTTCTTGTGATTCGGGAATATCCATAACGTCTAATTTCTCTGTGCTCTCTAATAATTCATTAAGTTTTTCCAATGTTTCTAAAATAGGAAGTGTGTATTCTTCTTCATTGGTAGCTTTAGGATCTGCAACAGTTTCTTGGACTTCATTTGTATTCAATATTTGAACAACTTCATTTGTTTTAGTTTCTAAAGCAAGATCTAGCAATTTTGGTTCGGTTGTGTTGAAATTTTTGTCGGTACTTAAGGATATTTGACACTTTTCTTCAATTTTATTATTGTCTTTGGTAGTATTATCGTTGGTTAAAGACTCCTTAGACCCAGTTTGAGCATCTTCTCCGCTTTTCCTAAGCTTCTCATAGTATATAACAGTATTCAAAACTTTCTTTTTAATACTTTTAGAATCAGTTCTCGGCTTAACATCTTCATCGTTTAAATTCTGTGTAATCCCACTGCGGTTCTTTTCAATGCTTAAATTGAATGGTGATCCAGCAATGTGCTCACCATTTGTTGTCAAACAGATTTCGTAAACGCCTGAATTGTTTGGGACGAACACAAGTTTCGCTCGCTCCTTCTCAAACTCAGTTTTAATTTCAATGTCACACGCGGGGCCTTTATCCTTTGGTTTTAATAAGTTCGAAAAATCAGCAGACAAACTTTTCAAGAACGATTGCCTTTTATCGGGCAATTTGGTGTTTTTATCTCTTGTAAAAGATAGCGCTTTCAACGTAGTACTTCCGTAGGTATTATAAGGCCCTCTGATATTAACCAGCAGATCATCGAGTGTTTGACCTTTAAAGTTAGGGTAGATGTAAATGACGGTCTTACGATGTTGTTCGCCGGTGACCAAACCCATACCACGTGCAATATATCGCGTTGAGAAAGTGATGTCGGTTTGAGGCGTCATCTTCTCAATAGCCGCTTGGAGATTACACACATAGTCAATGAGAAGCTTTTCTTGAGTTGTTGTTGGTTTCAACGAGTGAAAATCCGTTTCGCTAAACACCTACAAAAAAGTAAATAGATGAAAATATAAAATAGACATTTTTTTACAGAAATAAATCTTACTGGGATAACTCCAAGGTATTTGTAAGCTAAAGCTTGGCCATGTATCGGTGGTTTCTTCCAGTGTCGATGCGGATTTGGACAAGCTCCCGGCACGACGGAATTGATGAGTGTACACATGAGGGAGCCATCCTTCCACATCGCCGCCAATCCTCCGTCGACGTTGGGCAGATAGTCGATCATCCATTTCTTTAATTTTTCTCGCTTACTGAACGACGGGCAAAAGACTACAATACACATTTCAGCATCAATTTGATAAAGAGTACACAGAAATCAAGTCGGCAGGTTATTTATATTAAAATGACTTTGGTTACAAACTTACCAGCAATAAATGATTTATCTAAGTGGGTACACACTCTGGCAAAGATCGCTTTTCGACCTATAATTGCTCCAGTAATGGCGATCGGTAGGATTATATGGAGCAGAAGAATCAACCCGTCTGACCATAGTCGCTGTGCGGGCTCTTCGCTCACGCGCGACTCATCTGCAACAAAAACAAAACACATGAAAATGCAATACTTTCTTTGTTTTGGGTGCAGCAGCTATCTCCAGACTTTGGGATTTGCTCGTTATTATTTTTTGGTTCCCCTCACAATGCCGATGATGTAATCATCATTTATTTATACTGCTAATACGTTGTTTTCCCATTTTCTTATTTGCACCGGCAGATGTAGTCGCACAGTCGATAATGACGAGATGTAAAGAGCATTTGATATTAATTTATCTGTTTACTTATTTGTATATTTATTTATCTGGGTTTTTATCCAATGACTTAATAAGGTATTAATTAATGTTTGTATTTCGTTATAGATTTGTATGCTACCCGGCGTTCTTATTGCATGGACAGTTAAACGTTCGATTCTGTAGATCAATCAGCATTCTGTATTTTATCTCACTTTGGGCAAGCGCAGATTGCGGTGGACAGAAATTAGCTGTTTTTTTATATATAATCCCGGAAATCCCGCTCGATTAGAGCTCATAAACCAATAATCCTGTAGTTTACAGGCAAATTTAAATTCTAACCAAAAATCCTTGGAGGTTTTTTTTAAGAAAACAACGCTAAACAACGTAAAATACCTTTTTACTACCTTGGCAGTAAAATAAAATAAAAAAAAGCTATACAATAATATAATCTAAATTTACGTACAGAAAAATAAGAATAACCATACCGTCATTACCCAGACCGTCCGTATGGGTACTCTTCTCATGCTGAGGGGCGGCAGTGGTAGCCGCCGCCTTGCTCTTCTTATCAGTCGCATTCATGTGATAGCGCACACTTAACACAAATGGCACTGCGCAATACTCACAGCAAAGTTTCCCTTTGTTCTTTAAATATCGGTGTTAATATTAAACAGGTAGCAATTATAAACTCAAAACTTTCATGTCAGAACTGTTCACCTCCATAATGTTAGAAGTACTAAAATTACTAGTAGAAGTATTTTTGCATTCCTGAGCGTTATCAGCGATAAACAGACAACTTCACTGTAGACGTGCAATAATTAAGCGGATTTAAGTCGCAATAACGTGTAGCCAAGTATTGGCCTAAAAAATCTAGATAGTTATCACTGATAAGGACAATAAACACTAGAAAAGATAAAGTATACATTCTAAACTCTTATCATTTCATGTTTATATTATCTATTTTAATAATTTACTTAATTGAAGCAAAAATAGCGTAAAAATGTATTTTTTAATCTCTGTATATTGGTATGTAGAATATGTAAATCAGAATAAAACCATAATCACAGGTGGCTAATATTAAATTACATTAATTCGATTATGTTTTCAATTTGGCGTCGCTTGTCGTTGATTATTGGCTAATTGCTAGCGACATCCGCGCGGCGCGAAATTTAATTCAATGCAAATTACGAATGTAAATGTAAAGCAAATCCAAAATCGATTTCTAACTTGTAATTATTAGACCGATCGCTATTCTAATAACCGGGCGCATCCGGCGCCTAGGTTTGAAAAACCATTAAAACGTCAATAAAACATTATTAAAACTGACGACGATTATTTTTACTTCACACTACTCGTATATTACGAATACAATAAGATTAAAATTTAGGTTGTAATGAAAACAGAAATAGAACCATTTTACACCGCGGATAATTTTAATTAGTGCTAAATAATTTTACCGCGAGGTAATATATAGCTTTACGAGAATTCTTTCTGTGTTAATATTAAAGCGCGAAGGAATGCGAGCATGGCGCGTGCCTGACGTCCGCGTTGTTGCATCTAAATCAAACAGCAAGCAAGCGACTAAAACGAAGCATTCCATACCGAAGCCCCAGAGGCATCAGCGACATAAAGCCAACAACGACCAACAATTCAAACGCAAAGTCAAACGCAAAGTCTCATAAATAAGAACTGGGAATATTCCTAACGCAGTAAAAAGCAGAAAAGCAGAAAGCAAAGAAAATCAAAAGCACATTATATGAGGATGGTGTGTGTATGTGAATGTGGGCATTAGAAGTGCCTTCAGTTCACTTCGCTTGGCTTCTAATTAACGCACGTTCGATTAAGCAGCGATGAACAATCTTAATTTGTACGCATAAATAATAATTAACGATTCGTGTAATGTGCGTCTAAAACCGCTCACGCACATTTCAAACATCTCAAAAGTTAAAACTAAAAACTTAAACATTCCTCTAGGAATGCACATCAATTACTTCCGAGTATAAAAAACTGCCTTGAGTTTGTGTTGAGCAATTATCCGTAATTATTTATAATCTATGCCGAGCATATCATCTTTTATCTTCACTTTTCTGTTCATGTACACCGTTGCACATGTTGTACATGTTGTACAGTTTTGTTAATTACCTCTTTTAAGATGTACTTTGCATAATTAATGAGAATGCGAGGCAAGCGTTTAATTGTGGCGAGCGCAGCGCAAAGAAAAAAAATTGGAGCACATATGTTTTCGCTTTATATTCACGCTGAGATTTGTTGCAATCGGATGGGATGATGCAGAGAGCTTCATTAAGATGCAAATGAGACTGTATCGTTTATGAAATGTTGAAATGTAGTTTGCAATGCTTTGCAAATTGTAATAATGGTAGTATTGATTGGAGAGTATTGTGTTGATTGTTGCATACATTCAATGCGACTTTCTTTCTATTCAATTTTTGTTTTGTTTTGCCTGAGATACTAACTAGAAAATAAAAAAAAGAGTTTTCGAAACGTTTATACACGTATATTATTGTTGATTTTTTTTTTTTCATTTTTCGACGTTTTTGTCTTTAAATGAGTTTTGCCTTGTTAAGATAACTTTTCTACTCAACATAGGTCAGGAAATAATATTTGAAAATAATAATAAACCCTCATGTTATTGTTATAAAACTGTTGTTTTTACGTTTCAAAGGTAAAATTATTGTTTTCTTTGATTTATGTCGGATTTATAATTGTATAGAAATATTTCCCGGAATTAATATGAAGTTACAAGCAGCACCTTTTAATTACCATCATTAGTTTTCCACTTATATAAATGTACGTATTGATAAACTTGAAATAAACATACTAAATATCAATTGTGTGAACAAAAGCCTGAAGGCAGTTGAAGTTGCCGATGCTTAGATGCATTAGACGACTCTTCCTTCGTTTTGTTAATTTTTATTAATGCACTATGCACTTCTCAATCGACAATGTTGGAAAACTAGCGTCGTTTTGCGCAGGAAATTGAAGTGCACGTAGGCCGTAGCACGCCGAGCACAGCAAATGCGTGATGCATTCATTCAGTTTTGCACTTTCGCACCAGGAGTTGAGTAGCACTCGTCGTGCCTTTTCAACAAGTTTAGCAATATCGTGGCCGTCGGCTACAGTTTCCGCCGAGCCAAACGTATAGCTATGTAACAGAATGCACATTACACATTCCATCATCTAACTAATAATATAGGTACCGAGAGATTCTGTCTTCAATTTTCGACAAGATAATTTTATCAAGACAAAAAATTATTTTTTACTTTTGCACCTTGTACAAATCATAATTATGATAGTAAAAAGTGATGATATGTAGAAATAATGAAGTGCACGTTGAGACGATGATGTAATTTGTCGTTGCAGCTGATGTTCGTTATCTTTTCGCATGTGTGAACACCGCGATGATAGTTTATAGCCGTCCAAAGTAAACGATATTCAATTACGATTGCAAATTATGGTCGAACGGTAAACTCTGCAAAGCTCACAGCTTTTCCGCATTCTGGCAAAGTGAGATAGTGATCGTAATTCGAGCATTACCGTCATCAATCTGCACCGTCAGCGCACTATCAACTGGATTGGATGACAGATGTAAGAAGTGCTTGTGAATGCAGTGAAAGAGGTTGCAAAGATGCAACACGTTGAAGTGGAGTACATTTGATGAATCATTAAAGTAAATAACATATTTTTGATTTAAACTAGAACTGTTCAATAAGTTCTTTTATCAAATGCTGGTGTAGAATGCAAATACGAAGCAACAAAATCGTTAATGATTGCTTTCCGGGAGGGTTTCCGTTTGGAACTTAGCCATTTGCAGTATTCCGTTACTATCTTCATACGGAACGCAGTGAAATGTATGCGTAAAAGGGCTTAGACCTTGCTGGACTGCCGCTGGGAAAATTTGCCTATCTTAATTGCTTTAATTTGCAGTGATTTTTGATAAAATAAAAGCATTTACCCAATTTTTTGATAGATAATAGAACAGGTACAGAAATAAATTGCTGTTAAAATTATTTATCATTAATTCAAATGTAAAAAGTAAAACTTTTAAATATTTCTTTTTCCTTTTTTTATTCTTTCTACCCATTATTATGCCTAAACAAATGTTTGTAAGACAAGTACGTGAAACAGAAGAATAGATCCCAAGGCTGACAAATAATGTGATAATGTATGATTATAAGTACAATAAACGACTTACGTATACTAAAAAATAAAAACGAGTGTGTGTTTTACTAATTGTCAGCAAATACGTCTAGAATTTAAGACTTTTGTTGAATAGATATACTGTGTCATACCAGTTACCAGTCCGAAACGTATTTTTATAATTAAATTACCATCTCGACTGTGTTTCTTACTAAACATGAATTATTAGGTAACATTAAATTATTGCAATCACAATCATCGCCGCCGCGATTAGCACCGTCAAGATAATTTATAACTCATACATTGTGCTTCAACTTGACCTCCAATTTGTTTCACTTCACGCTTACACAATACCATACGAACATTACTATCAATTAAATCAATCATCATCGAATTATTTGGATGCTTAATCTTCGTTTTAATAAACACGCAGTATATCTTAAAAAATTACATAAAGCGGTAAAAACTAATTGATGTATTTTTAAATAGGAAAGCAACGCAATTTTACCATCTTGCGCGTTTAAATAATTATAGCGTAATACGTTTTCAAATAAAAAAATATGAAATGATGATGTTTTATCTTAATTATGCTTTTCGGCGGTCTTAACCGTTGTTTCATGCCGTTCGCTATAATGAATTTCAATATTTATGTAATATTTAAGCAAGATGAGCTTTCACGTGCCGTCCGTTCGGATAATATTTACATTTCCTGACATTTCAAGAATATAAAAGAGAAATTTATAATGTAATTTAATGTTGAGGCAAATCTTTTCGGAAATTCTTGCTCATCATCGTCTGCTTTTTGCAATTATAAATTATATCGGCGTATTATTTATTATACACCTCGTTTGGTTAATAAATATTAATGTTAATACATCTATTAACAGGCAATAAAAAGCCCACCTGCCTAACAACCACATAAGGTGCCTACGACTTTTTTTGTAGAATTGCATTGAATTTGTTTACTTTGAGAACAATAAAAATAGAATTGTTGAAAGAAATTGTAATTGGCGTTATTGATGATTAAACCAAATAAGTATACAAATAAACAGTTTAGATGTACAGTAATATATTTTTTAATTAAATATTTTATCCTTTTATCTTCGTTGATAACTTTTTTTATTATTTCATTTATTATTTTATATTATTTTGTGTTTTATCTTACCTGCAATTGTAGGGTCTGTCATTCAAGTGTTCTTTTAATCAAGCCAGTCCAAATAAAATAAACTAAACAATAAGTTTACTTCACAATCCAAGTTCCACTTAACGTAATCCACATTTATAAAACAAACACAATTGCCAATGTTATCACTGTTAATTCACTGTTTTAAACCATGCATTTTGCAGGTGAGTCTATTGAATAAATATTTAATAGTTTAATGTGAGTTGGATGTATAAAACACCTGTAAGTAACGATGGGCAACTAGCTGCAAGTCGGTGCAATAAGATTAAACAGCGAGTTAAACTCGTACGGCTTCGAGTCCACGACGCGCAAACGCGCGAATCCAATGCAAACGATAGCAAAAACACAATACAACAACGTGGGCGTTGAAAAGTTCACATCGCAATATCAAACGACAAACATTTTCACATGTTCCCTACAAAAACTAATACATCGCGCACTTCGGACCTTTCAAGTGCATATCCCATTGCGTTTCCGGGTGTACACTCAAGTCAAGTTTAATTTCCACACATATACATACACAAAAATTTATATAAAACCACAGGAACGTTTAGAACTTGTTCCGAACTAAACTTAACTCTGGATGATAATACTGCGATGTGATACGTTTGTTCCTGCAAACTGTTCAACACTACCGAGTTGTGTTTCTATCGCGCGCGCACTAGTTAGCGCCTTTACTGTTGAGCAGGTAGTAAACGTCTGCCGACTGCGGACGCATCGTGCATGCTTCCGAATTGCTTCTGTGCGCCGCGATCCTGCAATCCGTGTTTACTTACGTTCGCCGTGCTCGTGCACAGGTATCGCAACTATCGCGCCGGTGATTTTTTTTGTTCATTCTGTTTCAATAAGATGAGGCGTATCGGCGAGGCGTGCGCAAGTAGCGAGTGTTTGCGAATGGATTTACGTGTGTGACGCATGCAATTGAGCGGTCAAAATTGCCCCCGCATTCATGTTTTAAATTAATTTTTATTAGTAATGTGCCCTCGTTTCCACTGCGCATTGAATTGGGACTTCCAAAACGTATAAATCAACGTTATCACAACATTTGGACGAGGAAAAGTCGTGCTTGAACTATTAACAATTATTTATTTGTGTTTTTATGTTGTTTTGTAATTTGGTTCGTATATTGGAATGTTAAGTTTCGAAAATTATTGTACAACATTATTAACGAAATACATTCGACTGACGAAGGATGATTATAAGATATAAAGATATGAAGATGGTGCAACTTTAACTGCTTATATTTTTATCAAATTGATTAAAAACATAAAACTGATAAAACAAAATTATAGAGAATTTTCTTGACTTTAATTTGATAGTAAGTTTGTAGTAACCCTCAAATTACTGTCGAAATTATCATTAAAATATTTTGATGATGATTGCACAACATAAAAATTTTACTTTTCCAATTTCTAATTTTAAGTTTATTCAAATTAATGATAATAATTATTTATATTACAATATAACATATCAATTTATAGATAACTACCTTATGAATTTTCATTTAGACGTAGTATTTTCATTTCTTTTTGCGTTTCCTATGATTATAATTGTTTTGCATGAACTTCTTTACGAACTAATTGAATTCAACCGAAACGATATGATTAATGCGCACATAAATTAAACATGAATTACGATTACATTCGCGATAATAAGTTTAATTATAAATTAGAGATCCACACGGGCGATGTTGGTACGGTCGGTTGGGCAATTTACGTTCGCATTCGCGCCGCTTACGGTTCACACCGTCGTGCACAAATTGAATAAGTTGTGAATATTCGCGCGTTGGCTCGGAATAAGTCGGTCGTTCCGATGCTGGACGCGGAACAAGATCAACAACTCAACATCGAAGCAACTTAGAGTTGCAATACGCTAAGCTATACACAATTTTACGTTGCAAGTAACATGAAAGCAAAACATTCCCTGAATTCTGCTCCTGTAGAAATTTTTCCCTAATTTTGCAGGCATCAATTTAAATTTTTGCATCAAAAAGCTACATAGGTATGTAATGTTTCAGGGTCTTTAATAAAATTGGTTCAATATTTTATGCGTAAAAGCGCAGCAAATCCAAAAAAACAAAATAACATCGACGTCAGATATCGAAATCGCAATACCGTAGTTATTTTCACGTCATATTTTAATATTAAAAAAGTAAATATTTAGTAAATTTCACAATATTACGCTACGTAAGAAAATCATTGTAATAATTAATTAATACGTTAATTAGAATTGTACAATGCACGTACATTCACGCCGCCGTTATTATGATCATCATTAAGTCTCTTTATTGATACACATTTTGGTTATTAGTGTTACTCTATTTGTTTACAGAATAAATTAATTAATTAGTGAATAAAGAATGAAGAAATTGCGAACGTAACAACACAATGACGGACTCATTCATTAATCACGATTGGGTTATTCGGCGATGATTGTGTTGAAGTTGAAGAGAAGTAATAAATGTTTTTGGCCAACAGGCACGTAAATTCAAATAATTATTAATTAAACTGCTTCAAGTCACGTACATAATTCTATCTAGATATTTGACGTCGCACTTAATCATAATATTTAAGCGTATATTCCATACGATACAAGGATAGATAGATGAAAGTTTTTTTTGTGTGGCAGTTGAAAGAAAAGTGCGAAACCGAAGCATGAAATTTCTAAGCATGTGGAAAAACAGTGCCGATGTTCATTTTCCACTCGGTTGGTTCTCCGTTATGTCGGCATTCGTTGCATTATTTGCAATAATGCTTATTTATTTTTTAGCGGTATGTATATGCAGCACTTTATTGGATTATTAAGTTTTCGTGCGCAGGTATAATCTACAGTTACTTGCAGTTAATTAATAATTATGCACTAATTAGGAGGCAATAGCAGGTAAAAGTAACTGTGTTTTATGCCTACAGAATCATTAGTACAGATGCATTAAAAGCATCATCTGCAGATGCTCTTGCAATAGTTACGCATATCTATAATATTTTAAGTTTATATTGGATTTTCAAATTGCTCGCTTCAAAGAATTTTTAAATCAGTGGACAGATTGAAGTTACATTGAGGTACTTTTTGATTATGTGCGCATATTTGCTTGTTTTAACTTGTAAGCATACAAACGGTTTTAAGTTTTCTTCGGAATATAGAATTTTTGATGATTTTCAAATTTATTTTATTGCAAACTGCTTGTCTGCTGGATTTGATTTTAATACATAGTTCAGATTCCTAAAATATTATACAAATTCCCCTTATGAAAGTAAACTGTATTATAATAAAAAAAATAATTAATTTTTTGTTGTTGCGTTATTCATTAACGCCCGCAAGGTGAGATAATCGCGTGCGTGCAAGTAAATGAATAAAGAAACGAGTGCATGCGAACGGCAATCAAGCGACGTGTTTAATTAAATCATCCACCATTAGGCGCGCACGTAACTTCATTTTCCGCCGTTCGGCTGCCGTTTTTTTACTATTTCCGCCTCTGCGCGAGTTTGAAAATGTGTTTATCTCGCCATTCCAACATGTTGATTATGTCTTTATTTCACTCCGGAATTCATTCGTGTGCATTTAACACGCAATCGTGCAATTTACATAAACTGTTGTTTACCTACGGTTATTTGATGATTACGTTTTTTCATTATTATTTTAAGCGAATGTTGAATTAGCAATACTAATTTATTGAAATTACATGTACCTATGTATCAAATTACAAAAGTTAGAAAGTTTATTATTAAATTTTATAAATTACTGATACAAAAATTACCGAAAATTAAATTATTAGTTTAAGTTTAGGATTATTAATGCATGGCATGTTTTATATACACTAATGTAATTAATATATTAGCTGTAAACAGTTCTAAAGCAGAAAAAAAACATATAAATTGTTTACTCCCAAGGTGTCGAAAATGTTTACGTCTAAGATATTTTAATGTAAATGCTCACGCTCGTTTTGCCGCAAGGAATAATTATTCTAAATTTTATTTCTCTTGAATTTTAATTGCTGTACATCTTAATAAACAGCGGAAAAGGATGGCGGAAACATTCAAATCAACAAAATAGTCGATTTAGCGGAAACAGAACTATAAATTGTCAATTTTATTGCTGAAACTTTTAACTTTAACTAAGAACTTAACCGTTAGTGCTTAAAAATTAAATTAAAACTTTTATCGTTCAAGGAACATTTAAATTTCTTATAAATACAATTATGATTTTTAGTTTCGTCACGCTCCAAATGGCAATCGGCCCGTGATAAAATATATTATTATTAAAGGCGTCGTCTTTCACTCCATTTATAATAATAATACACAAACAAATAATTAAACCAAATTAACGACAGTGGCAATTAAGTACTTTAGTTCGGTTTTTCGTTGCTACTCTTTTTAATATTAAATATAGAGTGTTATATGAGTGTATAAGTTAGTACTTATAAAGTAATTTATTAATTAGTGCTAATTTGAGTAACTTTCAACGTAAAGAGAGCATTTCGTGTGGAATGAATGCGCAGCGCGTTTAATTTTCATCAAGTTGTTTCATTCGGCAATAAAAATTTTCGATTTTTATGCAAAACATGCGCCGTCATACTTTTACCAATTGCGATTAATCGGAGCGAGCGATGATGACGATAACGTCGGGGAAGCACGAGCAAGTAAAGCAGTGTAAAACAGTGTATGGCAATAGAATTGCGAAGCGGAGAAGCTAGATCGCCCAGTTAAATTTGATAAATGAAAGGCGATATTAATAGTTTAGGAACACGTTGGCTTTCTTTCTTCTCCCCTGACTTAATATGTACGCGTAGGTATATATTTTATACTCTACACTCGAATGTAATTCTTGCGCCTGATTTAAACTAACAATTGTAACCGTCCTCGCCATCACCCTGATGATGGATACATATTTTATTTGTGATAATTATCATAATTTTAAAACGATTCAATAAAGTTTCCACAATGCAAGTGACATAACTTTGTGTAGTTAATTTAGTGTTCCTTACTTTAAGGACTCAAAGTTCAGCAGGAGAGCGGCGCTCAAAATCAGCGTTTAGAAGGAATTATGCGCATACCATAAAGTTTATTTGATCTTTAAACAGTTTCATATGCTGAAACTGTTGCTATAAAAGAACGAATTTGACAACATAATTGGTACATCTTTGTTGGCTGTTAACTGCGATCCAGGTTTCATAATTGGGGATCGTTGTTTGCTGTGTTGGGTACACACATAGAAACATTTTCATCTTTCCTAAAATGACGAAAGTCTGGCCGTCACTGGCTCTTACTCTACTAGCTATTATATTATTTGCATGTAAAGCGCAACGTAAACTACTAATATCTGTTAATTAATCATACAACTTGATGAGTATTTAAATATTCTTTCCCTTTATGGATTTATTTCAAGCGTAGAGTAAGATAAAGTCAATGTAAATTGATAATAACTACTATTGGGGTAGTGACAGAATGCAAATCGCAAAAGATGAGGTAGTTTGTGATAAAGTAGTAGATCCATTTACATATTCTTTACATTTTTTTTTATCTATCTTATCTTCTTAATATATATAAATCTCGTGTCACAATGTTTGTCGTGTCACAATGGACTCCTAAACAACTTAATCGATTATAATAAAATTCGCATGCCATGTACAGTTCGATCCAACTTGAGAGATAGGATAGTTTAAATCTCAAATTATAGTCGGAATTTTAATTTATTGCTAATTATTTGTCTGTTATTATTTGACAGTCACAATTATCTGTTAACTCCAAATGATTCTAACAGATGTCGATACCTTTCGACTGTTATTATTATTAGTTGACAGATAGAAACTCATTTTGACAATAATTATAAAACTGAATAAATTTGTAAATTTAGAAATAGAAACTGTGAGTTTTAATAATGATTGTGGCACATATAGCTAAAAAAGTCTTTCAGGAATTTTGAAAATATTTGTGAAAGATAAGTCGTTTGACAGGGCCGCTAGTTATATATGTATAAAAATGAATTGCTGTTCGTTAGTCTCTCTAAAACTCGAGAACGGCTGAACGGATTTATCTTATCTTGGTCTTGAATTATTCGTGGAGGTCTAGGGAAGGTTTAAAACGTGAGAAAAATTCAAATAATTACCGAATAATTTGACATTGAGATTCATCATAGTTATAGTTAAATAGTTGAATTCGAGATGGCGCGCTGAAGTGCATTATTGACAAAACTTTATATAATTAATTTCTTTAAATTAAAATTGCTAATCTTATTGATAGAATTGACTCTTACTACGAGTATGTCTAGAACAAGAGAGTAAAAACGAATTACATTTTTATTAAACACTGCCGGAACGAAGTCGCGGGCAACAGCTAGTTTGAAATATATTTTGCCTAACATTTTATGCGCGAAATGAGATAAAGTGGATGTGTGTTGATAAAATCCGCTGCGATGGCCCGTGTTTACAAAACATTGCAACAACGATATCACGAAGTATAGATATAAGGAGTCCGAACGTAATGTTAAATTAATGGTCACGATCTAGGTGACCAAACATTCGCCAATAGAGCGCGCCACTATGCGTTAGTGTACTCGTTTATATACTTACATTACTATGGACATCGCCGTTCACTAGTCTTTCGGCCACTAAAACATCTTGGAATAGCACAACACCTTCCCATTTTTTGAACACTACTAATTTTCAATAAATAAATTAGTTCAAAAAAATATTACTATCACGTTCCAATTCAAATTAATGTATACATACATATAAAAGTTAACAATATGGATAACGCATTCGACAAAGTTAAAAAATATGTATTTTGAAATTTAATTGAATTCAATTAAACATTCACAAACCAGCACGTGTTCACGTGTAATAATAATCACGAAGTATCTAAACGCAGGAACGTCATGTAAAGAAATTGTCTCAATGTTGCTATGAACACGAACCAACGTACATCGGTTCACTCGCAAACCATGCCAGCCAGTGGCAGAATAGAGAACTATTAGCTTTGTATATACAGTAGAATCTTGATAACTCGAACCTTGTTAAGTCGTAATCCTCAGTAACTCGAAAAGATATGCTATTCCCTTCCGCTGAACCCCGAACGACGCACTAACTCGAATTTTTTAGACTCAGTAACTCGAACAATAAGCTATTTCCCTGTGAGGCATTACTCGTACATTTTAATACTCAGTAACTCGAACTGCAAATACTACCTCAGTAAGTCGAAGTTCATAAAATTTTATGATTTCTTACTCGAGATTCCCGGAGCTCAAAACTCGGGATTCCCGGAGCTTAAAACTCGTGGCAATAAAATCAAAAAGGACTGTTCGGGGCTCGGGGCCTCTTATCTATTGTTTTTGTTTTGCACACGTGCAAGGAATGAATTCATTCAATAAACTTTCTAATTTCTAAGAAACACAGATGTTATGTTTCTTCATTTTTGGTCACTTTTGGTTACTTGGCTCAGTCAGTACATATTTGTTTGGCTGTTAACAAGCAACAACATGAGTACAATACAGCAATTGATACACTACGAACTTAGATTGAAAGATGTAATGATATCGAGTATCATATATTCGGTTCACTATATGAACTAGAAAAAATAATTGATAAAAAATCTGTAAATGGCTTGAATCAAACGAAGATAACAGATTTTTTATCAATTATTTAAAACATACAGTGTAAGTTCATTCATTATAATTATGTACTTGACTTTCATTTTATATTACCTAATGTAATTTGTCGTTATAAATGTTCTATGAAATTGTGCCTTTTTATGTCGAAATTTGATGAGTTAACTCTTCATATCTCGAAATTCTTGTTAAGTCGAACACTTGCTATCTCGAATTTTTTTTGGTTTCCCTTGACATTCGAGTTATCAAGATTCTACTGTATTTGTAAACCATGGCTACGACGAAAAAACCTATACCGTTCGGACTCCTTATATCTATACTTCGTGGATTCAATAAACAAAGAGTCGAATTCAAATGGTACTTTTAAGGTCATTCCGAGATGTCGCTAAGATGTCCTTTTCGACTAAAAATCTTCTCGCGTTTTTATCATATTATTGTTGTAAAGTATTTTAGCAGCAGCAGCGCATTTTATCAGTTTGCACTGACTTTATATTATTTTACGCTTGAAATTAATTCATAAAAGTAAAACATATTTAAATAATTTATTTTTTTATAATTTATCAACAGATATTATGTAATATATAATCCATTACTATATAGTACTATGTTTATTTTCTGGTGTTTAATTTAATAATGAACTCTTAAAAACTTTCCGAGATGTCGCTAGAATGTCCGTTGTAACTAAAAATTTCGTGCGATCATATCGTTCACGAAGTATAGATACATAGGAGACCGAACGTCATGTTAAATGAATGGTCTTGATCTTGGGAACAGAACATTCGACAATAGAGGGCGCCACTATACCTTAGAGTACTCGTTTAAATGCTTACTTTGCTATGGAAACTACCGGAAAAAAATTCAACATGAAACAATAATAATCACGAATAATAGAAACACAGGAACGTCATGTAAACGGATTGTCTCAAAGTTGCTATGGACACGAACCAACGTACATCGATTCTCTAAGGTTTCAAGCGCAGCCAGTGGCAGAAAAGGGAACTATGAGTGGTGTTTATAATTGTGTACCATGACTACAACAAAAAAGCCTATGCCGTTCGGACTCCTTATATCACGAAGTATAGATAAAAGGAGTCCGAACGGTATAGCACTTTTTCACATAACTCAAAGCTTCGAATGTAGTTGTCGCTGGAATGTATCAATTCAAAATAAATTAACTAAATTTTGCAATTTTAATGCAAATATTCGCCAATTTAGCAATAAATAAACATAATACACTGCATAAATAGTCAATGAAAATATATATTTGTCATAAAATCACATATTTTCTTTAAAAATGCTTCAAATCTCTTCAAAAACTACAAAAAAAGCATAAAAACATTCAAATTTTACTTCTTTAGTAATTTACTCTTGAAATTAAATACCTATTTCATTTTAATTAATAAAAATCATCTAAATATTCATTAATTCATATTATTTACCGTCGGAAACTACCTCTATCAGGTCAAATCATGTGAATCTACATACTTTATCTTAATAAAATTTTGCACTAAAATAACGAGTTATAATAATAATCACTCTAACTATGTCTAGTTTTATCAATATTTAAATTACTTTAAAATTATTAATAGGGCCTAAATGATAAGTGGTAGATCAATATTACTCTTAAATATTTAAATTAAAATTTGTGAAGCTGTTAAAATATTAAGGGAAAATTTTAAGAAAAAAAAAGCAATTTCAATTTTGAAAAATGTCAATTTTTAAAGAGAGTTTTGGGGCACTTTTAAAAGTTCTATGAGATGATTGACAAGGTATGCATCGTGTAAAAGAAATCTCGAGCTATAATATGGGGGTGACAAACTTTAACAATGTCAATTTGTTCACGAGATACAGGGTGTTTTCTGCACCATCTTTACATACTTTATGAAAAACGCTACTTTCTAAAAAAATACTTTTGAGCATTTTCAGAAGTGCTAGGGGGTTGAAAATGTATGCATCGTGTAGGGGAAGTCTTCATCTCTAACATGACGGTGAGAAACTATAGTTCGGGAAATACTGGGTGTTATTTTGCAGACCACAATTTTGTTTTTATTGTGGTATATTCCAAATAATAATAGGTAAATAATAAATAAATGACCTAAACTAAATAAAAATACTTTACTTTATTTTATTAATGCTGTTTTTAAAATCATAGATGATGATTGAAATAACAAAAAACGACAATATAAATTATTATAAACTTAAATCAAATTCAGCAGTAAACCTTACAACTAGAACTCACAGGTAATCTATTGTTAAAATTTAGTTTACATTATCTTTAATCAGATCCATCTTATTTCCGTGCGGCATTCACGAATGTGACAAAGCTTTGCAAGCTAAATTAAACAGGCCGTTTTAAGTTAGTTTTACATTTTAAATAAATTAGCCTACCAATCAACGCATAATCAAATTATGAACGCTCGGTTGAAAACATAAATAACTCTTAATTTTCTAATACAAATGTAGTATAACTTAATTGTAAATAAATGTCAAATTTTGTTCTTTTGTCGTGTGGTAAAAAAGCAGCAGCGTGCTGCCTTACAATTGTATAAATAACGTGTAAAATCAGCAATAAAAATCAATTCAAAAATTCTTATAAAATTGGAATAAATTTCGTATAGATAAAATGCGCATGTTTAGGAATAAAATGTGAGAACGGATGTTTGATTCCCCCGCACGAGTAGAATTGGCGGCATGTCTTTCGTGAGAAGTTCCAGCCATGCCATATATAATGGAGCGGAGACGATGTTCTTCCTTGGCATGGGAAGAGTCATAACAACCAAACTCGAGTCGCGAGATTGTTCCAGCAACAATTCACGAAGACGCATATGACGATTCGTCTTGTCCTTCACCGCGAGCAATTCAGCATCAGAAATAGCCACTGAAATAATATAATGTTAAATTTGATCTATAAGTTGAATTGGCTTATGCGTACTTGAATCAGGATCATCCTTATCTAAAGGCACTCTGAATCCTGAGATAAGGGACTCGAAGAAGTCCTGAGTTGAATCGCTGGCTTTAGAGGAAATATCAGGTACAACATTGAGGTCAGAATAATCAATACGGAATTTTGCCAGCAAACTCGCCATATTGCGATGTTCAAATTCTAACTCATCGCGTTTGTTTGCCAATGCAAACACTCTCAATTTGCAATTACCCCAATTTCTTCTTGTACTGATAATATACGGCAACAGAAGAGTCAAACCTCCATCGTCGTACAACCACCACACATCAATGGTACCGCCGCGTTTCTGCTTTTTCTGGAATGGTAACATACTCTCTTTGATCTCCCCTGGGTAATTCGGTGTTTCCATCAGCAAGTGCATCATCCGAAACGGATCTAACTTTCTTCTTTGAAAGGGATTCATCGTCGGCATTTGGGCTGTTATTAACTGTGTTCTTGTTTTTAGCAATTGGTGTAGCTGGCACGGAAACATCACTACAACTACTCGAATGTGATAAATGACTGTACGATTGATTCCTTGTGATAGATCCATTTTGATGTTCGTCGGTTATTTGATCACTTATATCTAAGCCGTTTTGAAGACGGAGGATGCCCACGCCCATGTACATATCGAATGCTTGACTATATAAGAAAATAAATGAGTATTATACCACCACTTTGTATTTGCGTATGTTTTTACTTACTGTAAAACTTCAAAATATGCATCCAAATCACTACTTGCGCATTTTTGCCAATCGCCCTTGTGTCCAACCATTAAAATATTCGGGCGTAACTTGCCAATGCCGCAAGCTTTCATCAATGCTCTAGAACCATCTTCAAAGCCATATCCATCTACTGCCATATAAAAAGATTTCATTTTGTGCATTTTAAACCAGGACTGCGCTTGTTGTGCCTGCTCATTCTGTTGTGCTTGTTTCCGCCACTTTTGAGCGGAAATGCTCTGTAAATACAAAATATCCCTATTTTAATATGATTGAACTAATTTAAGCAAAAATATAACATACGTTATTAATGTGACCACAAACAAGCATCGATGTATTCTTTGTGATTAAATTTGCGAAATCCACTATAGCTGGCCTAGTGTTTGGCATACCAGACAACACTAATATTTGTGGTCGGTAATTCTTAACGTGTTCCTCTACATTGTTTAATTGATGCACGCTTTGTAAAGCATTCTTATAGATCTGCGCCTGAGTCGTTGATCCCCAGTTAACATCCGGTTTTCTATAAGCCACAATAAGATATAAAGCCAACACAACAGCCAGTGTTAAAAGCGCCGTTCCCCAGGAGATCAAGAACATCACCAAAATACATAATATGGCGCCGAGAAGACTCAGCCACATGTTGTAGTACTTAAACGTCGGTCGCCAGCCCACTGGTTTCGCCAGCGAGGCGTGGAACGTCGAGAAGTTGATGAGCGTATACGCAGCAAGGAAGAAGTTGGAAATGAGCGGTGCGATCAAGTTCAATTCGCCTGCAAATAATTACACCACTTTACCCGTCATCATCATCATCATCTTGCCGTAATCCGTTAGTACATACCAATTAGAATAAAAGCGACAGCGATCACGAAGGTTAAGATATAGCCGCGAACTGGTTCGTTGTTCTGCCCATAACCCTTCGCAAACCATTCAATCTTCGGGTAAAGTTTATCCTTACAAAGTGCTTGGAAGACCTTGGGTGCGGAAACAAGTGATGCTAGCGCGGAAGACAAAGTGGCCGCAAAGCAACCAGCGTATATAACAGGGCCAATCCAGGAGACGAGTTCAATGACTTGGAAGCTATTTTGGCTTCCAAATTCACAAGTTATATTTGCGCAGTCCCTGAATGTACCATTGTATAAATCGGTAACATTTCCAGTTGCATCTCGGACGACTGTAGCTCCCACAATAATCGCCATTACGATATAACTCGCTGTAGTTATCAAGATTGCCAAAATTGTTCCCTTAGGAATAGATTTTTGTGGATCCTACAACAGATAAAATCCAAATTAAAACAAAGCATAAAAAATTAAACACTTTATCTTTTTATACATACACGTAAATCACCAGAAATATTGGCCCCAGCTAAAATGCCTGTCGCAGCCGGAAAGAAAATGGCAAACACTGAAAAGAAATTGTGTTGGACTCCATCTGCTTCCCGATAATCCGGTGATAAATTCTCCATAAATAACGTTGCTAAAAACAATATTATTGTTGATTATATTGAAATTTGCACGAGAAATCATAATATTTACCATTATAGCCAATAAAACCCTTTGCTTTGTACTCATCTTTAGGTGGAATCAGGCTACCAATGATGAAATCAAGGATGGCGACTAACAAAATGACCAGGAGACCCATTTGTGCCTAAAAACGTTACGTTCAAACAATCTGTTTTGCATTTGCGTTGTACGCATTACTTTAGCCTCCCATTCCATGCCAACAACAACAATGATCAATAGAATTAATATGGTGATCGATCCGATGATCCGTACATCCTGTACACCACCGTCAATGATGTACAAGCCGTAATCATGTAGAAGAGCTAATATTGACTCGCAAAAGCCCACCACGTACATGGCGCAGGCGACGGCATTCGCCAACGAGAATATAAGACCAATGGAACCGCCAAACTCCGGACCAAGACTTCTTGATATCATGTAATAAGTCCCACCTGAAGTAAACAAAAATAGTTAAAATATTTTGAATACAAAGAAGTCAAAGTCTTGTACCTCCTTTGATGACACCATTTGTGCTGATAGCTGACATCGAAAGTGCCGTTATTGAGGTGACGGCCGTCGTAGTTAAAATTAATAATACTGCTTGTCCGACCCCGGCTTGACCTACGACCCAGGACAGCCGCAGGAAGAGCATCACACCCCAAATGTTCAGGAGACATCTTACCAGCACACCCTGTATCCAGCCAAACTTTAATTGACCCTCTCCGTTTGGATCTTTGCCGTTTAACCCATGCAAAGGAGATTGTTGCATCTGAAAATAAAGTTTCATATAATCAAAATGGCATACTTCCTCATTAAGCTCAAGATATTTAGCAAAAGGTCATTGGAGTTCTTCGCCTTTTATTTGCTAAATAAAGTAGGCACCAAACTTATAACCAGAAACGAAAGAAAACTAAATTACATATTTTTAACGGAATAGAACTTGTTATGATTTCATCTTGTTCCACTTAATAATCTTCTTAATAAGACCACCTTAGGCCATTGGCATACAAGCCATTGTTGGCCAAACTCGAGCAGAAATGACAAAAGTCAGTAATTATCTTGATGAACCGAATGTTCACCGTAACGAGCGAAAAGAAAGAGCACACAAAAGTCAACGAATGTCAACTGGAAACAAGCTTTGCCAACAAGGTTTTTTGCTGGTTTTATACGTTGATTAATAACATCACGTAAATACGCACCAAGCTGCTGGTACTTGTTTATTCGTGACGAACCGCATGAAAACGGCAAGCCCATCGGCCATTATCTGGATCAATAGGTAATTGAGGCACGAGCGTGTAGGTGAACTTTAATAATAATCCGACCGTGCCTTCACAATTCCAAATGCGTCGGCCGAATGCGTCGTGCAAAAAAAAAAGAAGCACTCAGCGAAAAGAGAAGCGTAAATAATCGAGGTCGACACCTTGGCAAACTTGCGTGATGCGTGAAACCTTTTTTTGCACATCCTACAATTTTAATTAGGTTTTACTCGGAGGTACGTTTTGTTAGTGATTAACAACGCTTGACAGAGGTAAAATCAATAAGCAATTGTATTAATCAATGGAAAGTTATGCCAGTAAATCATGTTTACACAAGTTTATTCGGTCTACAAAGACGTTGTTGTTTGTTTTCTGTGTTTACGGTTGGAATTAATGCGTAATGAGTGTTAAACAATGTTAAAATACGACAATAACACTTTAAGTTTATACTACAATACTACACATTTGCATAAGCATGGTTATGATTATTCAAAGGCACTAATAATATGAATATTTCTATTTCACATTATATTTTTATGTAAATACAGACCAGAAATCCATCCTGGTATGGCACACGAGTTAAATTTACTGATAAAGAAAATTAGAAATGCGCTTAGGAAAAAACCAACATAAATAATATTCAAAAAAGTATTACTTGTATAGATTAATGTGAATTAGGCATTCATTCCCAATGAATTACTTATTTTATCCCTATCGTGAACAAAAAACATTATTCTTTCATTCGCGTTTATGATTTTTATCATAGGAATAAGTAAAGCTAAGTTTACATAAAACCAATTGTTTTCGATAAGAAATTAGCTAGAATTTGGCAAGATGATGTGATATCAAGCAAACAAGATGTAAACTTTATCTTTTCAGGATAAAATCGACAATCTGCACACAAAAGTGCACTAAAACAATAAACTAATATAAATTAAGCAAATAAGCATCATGAACACCTAATTTTTTATATAATTTTTTTGTCTATAAGAAAAACAGTAATAAAGGAGCGGACTTGCAGTAAATTTATCTCTTTATAACAGAAGAGTGCAATAAAAACTAGTATTTATATCAGGATATTCCAAAAATATCATACATTTATACTCTGTATATTTTCTTTGAATGTGTGCTGAAATCTGGGTGTTTCCCGCTGAGAAAATTCCCAGTAAATATTACCTACTCATTTAGTAAACACAGACAAAGGTTTAAACTATTAAAAAAAGACTCGGTACCAGGAAGTACAAAGAGCTTATTCTTGTTCACACAATACTAAAAGATCAAACAAAACGACGTGATTTCTACTAGGTGTTTACAAAATATTTAACCATAAACTGATTGATGCTGTTTATATTCTCGGTAACTTAACGCCAAGTATATCCGAGGAATATTGCTTAGCATAGTCATACGCGATATTCGCAAGCCGCATGGCAAAACGTAGGCGCAATCGTCGTCGTTGACGGCGCGTCGTTAGCTTAAGTGAAAAATTGAACGAAAACATTCGACACGGATTGTGTGCGCGCATCTCGAGTGCTCTCCTCGAGAAGCCGTTGCATAATCTAGCAAAACCATTAGGACTTCCTCAATTTTTTCTATCGCTTTTCTTTCGCACGCGCGGCAAACCGCAAAGTGAACTTTTTTGAAGAGAATTTTATATTGTACACAAGATTGACAAGAAGAATAATAATTTATTGTCAAATTGACCTGATGGGTCATTGCCGACGACCCAAGTAGCAGTACGGGATAATTATAAGAATGAGTCGTCTATTCGTCGCATGTCACATGCGCAGAGGTGCAATTTCAAGAGTCGAAAGTGATTAATAAATGTTTTAACTGCTTTTTAACGAACTGATCAAAGATGACCAGTGCTGAGATGCAGAATGCATGTCATGCGACAGCTTTATTGAATTAACCTTTGGCGGGAGAGCAAATTGTTAATACAAAAGATCAAATGAGTAATCGTCAAATACATTGACAAAAATTACTTAAAACGTGTTTAACTAAAATTCAATATACGTATCAAGATTAATTAACGTCTTTAGTTCATAGAAACTTTGTTATTAGGATTGCAGAAGGCTAATCAACAAGTCACCATGGAAAAATAATGATTTAAACCGTCATGCGAGTGCATTCTTAATTACGTTTCTTAATTGAGCATTAATGGAACGTTGAATTCAATACTTTATGTTTCAATTAAAATTACAGATAACTATTACATCCTATTGTGGAACATAGTTAGAAACACGACTGTTGTTGTCTTGTTATTGTTACTTTTATAATTGGCTATAACTTTACCACGATTATTTCAAAGTCACGTTTTATCGGTTTCTGTACTTTAAAAGCCCCGGCGACTATCAAACACAATGATAACGTAGTCGTTCCAAAAATAGCAAACAGGAACTACCGAAATATGACTTTGAAACACCGCCGGTCAGCCACACGGACCGATACGCTGACATAATAAAGAGAAACTAGCGCAATCAAATTGAATAAGATAAGTGCGTGACTGTACGCATCATCCTGGCAGACCATAAAAGAAGAACAAAAGCAGACGCAGATCATTATTTAAATCAATCTGCCAAAGTAAAAATAAAGAGGCCACTAAACTAGGTTATGTTGCATTATTATAAGAAAACATATTACTGAAAATAAATTAAAATAAATAAGTGTAGACGATTTGTCATGACCAGTGTACGTGTGATGTTAATGTACAATAAAACGTAAACTCGAATCGTAACATTCGCAGCACGTTTATTACCTTATTGGGCAGCGTGGCATTATGTAATTCGTCCAGCGTCGGCCTGTTCGCCGCCTGTAAGGACATAATGTTTCTGTAATTGTCTAAACGTGGAAGAGCTTCCCGCGTCAAGTGTCTGGAAACAGATAGAGAGAACTTTATTAATTTTTGTCATCAATGGGATTTAATTTTTATTTTAAATACAATTTCAGAATAAAATAAATTGGACACGCTGCAGCGCTTAATGTAATTAAAATGACTCGCATCAATGTAATTGATTCTAAAATGTATACATTTTCAAAGCCGCATTCAAAGCAACAATTTTATAAAACCCATAAGATGAGGATTTAAATTTTCTGTTATAAACTCTACATTTGAATCACATGTTTATTTTGGATTGAAAGATTAATATTTATTCGTTTCTGTCAATATAACCGAAAATTATTTTCACCAAAAATTTAAAAGTTGAAAAATTACTCGTAGGTATATACACAGTACATATATATACACATGCAATTTACTTAAGTGCAAAATGTTATTTTCAGAAAAAAGTTTTATGTGGTAGACAGACAATAAATACTAGCCAAAATAAACGTTTTTCGGAAGCCAAAAACAAACTGAAAATAATTCAACTTGGAAAACTAAATAAAATTTATTCATAAACATCAGATTCCTTTTAATATAAAATAGAATTCATCAACAATCAACAATCTGCAAACTTTAATTTTTCAATATTTTTCTTCAATCAATTCCTCTAAGTATCAAAATTGTAGTTCCACATGATTGAATCCGATGACAAATATATCTTATTACGACCTGCTATAAAACTTGTTGCCATCTCGTATTTCAATGACAAACCCGTAAATACAAACACACCAGGCGTGCAATCAGTACGAACAAATAGCCATACTGGCCGTGATCAACTGTGTGCTTCAAGTTCAATGCGTTGCGCTATATTCAAACCAATCGTACTAGGTACATGCTTATGTACTAACCAGAACATTCGCACTTTCTTGGCGCATGCAGAATATGCAAACAACATTACTAACCTATATAAAGATAGCATCTCGAATAGTAAAATATCAACGTGTCCAATTACAGAAAATCCATTAAACATCCATGTATAGGTACTGTATAGTTAAATAAATAAAGCACTGCAGGCCAAATTTAGTAAATCAATATTGATAGCAGAAACGGCACGTGGAATTGGTATTTATATAAATAGCAAATGCAATCTTGCATTATACGAATAAAAATAAAATATCATTCATCTGTTTCTTTTTCAATTATACGAGTAATCGGTCGACACCATCGACTTGTTTTTTTTTAATTTAAACATTCTAAACAAGTTGTTGTTATGCAAGCTATGTGTGGTTATGTGTAGAGTGCAAAATAAAAAACTAGCGCCAACAGAACGAGTATAATCTTGACCTTATTATAGTAAAAAATACTCAAGTTAAGTAACGTAATAAACTTGACAATATCAGCTATGATTCAGACGTTTCTTTCATGATTAACTACGGTGAACAATAGAGCTATAATCGCATTGGCATTAAATTTAAAAGAATTGAGTGCTGATAAAAAAATGAATACAAAGTTGGAGAAGTTGTTTTTGTGATTTTTTTTTCGAAGGAAATTTTATTCAACTTATTTTATATTTTGCTACTAGGACAAAATATTTTTAAAACTGTTAATTGCTTGTTATTTAATAAAAATTATCACATCTTTTTATATCATATGGGTCGATAATAAAATATTACATAATACCTATGAGTCAAAGTCTATAAAATCAATCAATCATATTTAATGCAATAAAATTTCCAAAAATATCATTAATCATTTACTTAGGATTAAATTTAAAGTACGACGTATTAAAATCTCTCGAATTTAGATTATTACATTTGAATTCGAATGTTTTTCATTTTTAACAACAAAAAATTGTTTTTGAATGTAAAAAATTATCATTTTAGTAAATCTAAATTTAACTGCGGAACCACGGTTTATTTAAGTGATGATAATTATAAATAACACAAATCTATATATAGTCAACTATAATTAACTCTACTACGATAAATTCTGTGAAATATAAATAGAACTCAAAAGAAATTTGAAATTCGCTAAAGGCTAGTACACTTAGGAAATTTTTGGCCTTCTCGAAGCGATTCAATTCATACCTATACATATTAATGAATACACGATGACTAACCAAACTAACAGTATAAAAGCATTCATATAGTCAATAAAATTCAAATAATTCAAATTAGTTTTCTATTTGTTCACACTTGGCATCGTCACTACAATTCCACGATACAAACATAGCAATACATTCATAAGTTTAGTCACGATTATAATGATGCACGTGTCATGAAATATAGCGTAAATTACAAGAAGTATTTCTAAGAAGTTTGTATTATGCATAGCAACCGAGATTAAATTTCTAATGTGTGCTTGATTGCAATAAACAAAAATAAATAAAAAATATAAATGCAATGTGTGATTTTACTCAAGCTGATAAATACACCGCAAAAGTTAAATATGCAGTCTGGTTATTATCATAAACTGTTAAGATAAGCATTGATTGTGTCTGCGCATGCGTACAAAAACAAAATTCTCAAAATTTGAAACGTTACCTGAAACTTTTGACATATTTCGTGTCATAAGTCTCCGAATTAAGCCTGGTGCGATCATTCGCCTCGTGCAGCTCATCATCCTCTTCGTCTTCCTCGCGCCCGACGTCCACGACAGCATCACCACCATTCGACCTCTCCGGCGTCTCATTCCTCACCCGATTCACTTGAAACCTCGTCCGTTTATCATCTCCACCGTCGTGGTCAATCGGATCCATCTCCATATCGTCGTTGTTCTTCGCCAGCGGCTGGTACAACGGCGCGAACTCCTTAACGCTACCCTTTTTCTCTGACATTTTCACGCGTTAGAAAATATTACTAATAATTTACACACCAACAATCACGTTACATTACCGATCACTCAAAATCAAAATATCAACTATTTGGTAATTAATTAATTAAAAACACTTGCGATATAAACTTAACCCGTGTTATTATTAGTATGTTTGTATTTTGTTTTTGTTTCAAAAACACGCGGACGCGAAAACGCCGTGCCACTTGGCCGGCAGCTGAATGTTGAATGATAAATAAAAACAGCACTCGCAGGAGTCGCAGGCGCGCTGGCAAGCCGTTGAGAAACGTGTTTAATAACGCAGGACAGGCTGAAGCAATCGTATCGGTGTGTGTGTGTGTGTGCACAATGCAGAATCAACACATTTTGAATATCGTGCTGAGTGTACATCCACGTGGAAAACTTATAACACTATTTAAAGTTAATTTTAAAAGTTTGAAACTTGGAGAAACGTTTAAAAACCCAGCGTCGGTTGTACCGGTTTATATAGATTGTACTTGTACTTGTACTTCAAACGTTCGACCGTTGACTCTAATCGCGACCCATACCGAAAGTTTACACATTTGCATACGGATACCACACACATGCCACGATTGCTCCCGGCACTCCCGACATCACTCAAACACGTGCTTCACATAATCACTAAACTTAACATTAAACACATTATAAAATATAAATATAAACAAATTAAACTATTTTGACATAAATTTTAACACGTAATATAATTTAAATTTATTTACTTATCAAATTGTGTGGTTCCCGTGGAAGTTGTGATGAATTTAGTTGTTTGGGGTGCGTTGCACACGTTGCACCCCTTCGCACGCGCGGCGTGACATTGAAATATTCCCGCTCGTGCGCGCTACGCACGTTTCTTCCCCCCGTGAGTGGCAGAAATCGGGAACTGGTGTTGTTCCTGGTCGGTTTACGGGTACATTGCCCTTCGGTGGGCTGGGTTGCATCCCGTTCCACGAGAAAATCTATAAAGTGCACGCACAAGGCCAACCCGTTGCGATTGCGGGGAGTATTTCTATAGCAACGAGCAAACAACTTTTGATGCAAGCGATGCATACCGGAAATGAATCGGCACCGCGCTCAATACTCTATATACCTACAGAAGTTTTAATATTTTTATTTATAAAATTAAGATGTTTATAATAAAACTTGGAAAAGTGTGTAAATGGAGCATGGGCGCAAATTGTACGAATTCACATCCGGAATGAATGGATAATGTTAATATATTTTAGATTTAGAAAGAAAGTTTATAACTGCTGTAAAGTGTTTATCCAAGGTTGTTTGGTTATTCCAAGAGCTATACGAGTATAAAGTAAGATTTATTCAGTGGAAAAAGAATTGTACTCGATATTCATAATCTATAGCAGTTAAAGAGTTGATTTACACCTTGTAACAAAAAAATAACTTTCATTTTAATATAGAAGTTCATGAACACTCAACATAAAATTGAATAAATTATAAATTGATGTAATAATTATTAAACTAATTTAATACGTAATATATAATTTATGAGAAGTTTATGAGAAATGTTTAAAGATTACAATGATTTTTGATTTTATATTGTTGACTCAACGATTGGACAAACCGCAAAGGTGTGTATCAAGTTTGGATTTAGAACTTTAGTCACAAAAAGACCAGACGATGACAACAGTAAAGTTCCCAAAATAATCTGCCGGATGTTACTGATTTCAGAGTTTAAGCTTTTTATTTGCTTTCAATTTAATCAGATACTATGCTGTACTGTGTGCTGTAGGTTGTACGACAGGGATTAGTTGAGATATCTGAGGAATGAGAGCATTACTATCAAGGTCAGTTAATTCACTACGATCAATGCGTTAATGTTATACAATCATAAAACTGATTCTCTATTATTTTTTGTTTGCAAGTATAAATCCGATTTTTAATTTTAATTTTATTTTAATCATTTGTGCCTGTAGTTAAATAAGCACCATCTGTATTTGGAATTTCTTACAGCCACAATGTTATAACTTCCTAAACTCATCTTTATCATGATTATGTAGCTCGTCGGTCATTGACAGCGCGCATCGCTGAGGAAGAATTCGATTCAGGTGCACGAAGACTAAGCGAACGTGAGGCAAGAATTAATTACAAATTAAGTCAATGAATAACGTGACTAAAAAGTAATTGCTTTGCAATTATATTTTGCAAATAAAAATAAATAACATACAAGACACAAAACTTGAAATAAAAATCTAAGAGTTATAGAGCAAATCATATAGGTATAGAGAAATTAATAAAATAGCCAAAGTAGGTCTTGAGTGACATCTGCTAGCTAATAGTTAAATTATTTTTAAGTTTCAAGAAATACATCCGCAAAAACTTCATAAAGATATTCTAAACTAAATTTAACACACTCCGTAATATAAACCAATTGTTCTTCAAATGCATCTTTCATTATTTTTCTATAAATTAAGTTTTATTTATAAAATATTGAATTTCATTGACCAACAGAAAACTTATGCCAATATAAAGTGTTAGCCAAGTAGTAATTTAAATATAATTGTTAATATGTTTAACAATATCAGAGGAACTGTAACAAATATAATCCAATATAGTTCAAATATAGTCCAAGAAAAACTTATTTTCTATTTTATATACTTACTCCGAGCAACAGTTCGAATGGAATGAATTAAATTTAATATCTGTGCCTTTGCTGTAGGTGGTTCACCAAAACCCTGAGTCGGTGATTTGGCACTCCATCCAACTGTTAAACAAGAACATAAAATAAAATGTTATATTTTTATTAAAAATATACAATATAAATTAAAAGTCCCAACGTGTTATAGGTTAGGACACGTCTACTTACTTTTCACCAGGAAGCGCTCTTCATGCAGGATGCATACAGCATTCAAGCACAGTAAGGAAGCTTCGAATAAATTCCACAAGGTAAAAGTCATGTTGTGCCCTTTTAAAATTTATAAAATAATTTCTATGATCACACAATGACAGCGAACTGTGAAATATTACCAAAAGCTGGGCATTAACTGTAGGCAACTTCTTCTATGCAGGTTGAAACAACTCTCCATAAAGTAAACATGCTAGGCAACCAATTATACATCATTTTTAAAATTGTTAATTATTAAGAAGACATACAATCAAAGTGTATTATAATAAACAGTAAATATTGAAACATATTGTGATATGTGTGACTTCAATTAAACGTAAACTTATATGAGTAAAAGTAGGTTTGTAGAAACATAACACAAACATATTCGCGATGCAAAAGAAAAAGTTAATGCTCTCGCCACGAATCAAGACGATGATCGTAAATCGTTGATTCGTAGATGTAATGCCAGTTTGGAAACTTATAATATACAATTATGTTATATAAATGTAGTCATTCATACATGTCTGGCGCACATAATGCCACACGTAATTATAGAAATACAGAAAATGGTTTTTCGCATCGCGCGCGCGCGCGCTCGTCACGTAACTGACTAATAATAACCCGGACCGTTGAGATTTGATTAACTTAAATCCTAATTACGATTGAAATTGCGCAGTCAATAACTCTTCGATTACAATGCAAACAACATTAACAGCATAATTTCGTTAATATTTGTTTAAAATGGCGTTGCTTTGACGCCATTTTGTTCATGCAAGTATATGCACATAGAAATTAGGTTAATTGCTAAGAAATAGTAACACGGCTGCATCGTAAACACCGAAGGAGGAAATGAAGAGTCGTGTGTGTAACCATTGCGAATTGTGTGCATTATGTGCATTGTGTACAATGCACTGGAAACGTTTTATCGTGTCATGTACGATGTGCCAAATTTAAGCAGGCAATAAAATCAAATAATACGCAATCGAACAAAATGAAGCGAGTGAAAGTATATACTAGCCGGACAAACGCACACAAACAAAGAATTAACAAAAAACACATTGCCGTAGAACAAGTTAAGAGTAAAGAGTAAAGTTTAAGTTGAGCGAAGATGAAGTACGCTACTGTTTGTCCACTCATGCGTAATCGCAGAGAGGAAGAAATCATAAAGTCACACGAAACAAAAGATGCGGGCGGTGAACGTATCGGAAACTTAAAACTGAAAGTGTTCGGGAAGAGTTCAAAGGTTCAAAGTTTGTTTTTCTGTTGGTAACACTGCATTGCCAATTGGTACCCAATGATTACCAATAATTAAATTACAGGTAATTGGTACAGGTACAGGTACTTGAATTTTTAAAATTTAATTTTTTTTGTATTCTTGACCATTATATACTTTCTCGGTGTGCGGATGATGATGTAATTCGTGAGCATTGTAATATACGTTCCGGAAGTAAATTCACCGCGAGGATGATGCTGCGTTTTGATTCGTTTGCGCGCGGTGTTTGTTTCACGACGATTCGAAACTCTCGCATTAAATTCGCAGTTCACACATCTTGTCTCGTCTCGCAACAGATGCGTCCCACATTATTACCTTTCTCTTAATAATCTCAGCGCGATCGCGCTCTTTGCTCGTGGAAAATCCCATCGTCGGACAATGCAATATTGTGTTTTGTAAGCGCGCGAAGAAGCCAGCAGTAAGTGAGTGCATCATGTAATCGGTTTTTTCTTTCTTCATTCTTTTACTATTTTTACATAATAATAGCCGTGGAATTAAGCATGTGGAGGAATTGAAAGAAAAATCATCGAATTACGGTGACAAATGTATTTTTTTTATAAAAATAACCTACAAAAGCTTTATACAAAATAAAATTAATGGTAATGTACACATGAGTGTTGTTGTGTCAGCATCATGGACCCGTGTGTGTTGCGTCCGTGTTTGCATGCGGAGCGCTGTGATGTTCGCTTCGTAGTTCGTACTGATGGTGGTACTGATGGTGGTGAATGTTGGTTTTAGGCGCGGGGCGCTTAGAATGGCGCGCCGTACGAGCCGGATGGGCGGCTGGGGCCGCTTGGGTAACCGCCGCCGGATGGTCCGCTTGGGTAACCGGAGAAGCCACCGCCGGCTTGTTGAGAGACTTGGTTGTACTGCGCCACCTGGATGGCTTGTTTGATGCCCTCGAGGTCGATACCGACAACGCGGCCGCTGCTGTACGATGGCACTCCGTATTGGGGCGATGGCACGCCGTACGAGGAGCTGACTCCACCGCCGAATCCGCCGCCGCCGCCGCCGCCGCTCGAGTGGCCGCTGTTCTGCTCCTCCTTGAGGAGGATCTGACGCACCTGCTCGAGCAGGGCCTGGTCAACGGAGGCGCCCTCCGACGTTTGGTAGCCGGATGAGACAGCTGTGTAGCCGCCGCCGCCGCCTGACAGTCCACCGCCGTGTCCGCCGCCGAATCCACCGCCGAAACCGCCGCCACCGCCGAAACCGCCACCGCCACTGGGACGGTTGTAGTTGTAGCCGGATGGGGGCTCGGCCACTACGGCCACGGCCAGTACGAAGGCCGCAAACTACAAACAGACAAACAGACAATATGTAGACTTACATACATACACCCGCACCCGCAATGCAAGGCAATGCAACGTAATCCAATGTAACATCCGCCATTTTGATAGCACTTAAATTATACGATGCGGTAATCCACACTAGCGATGCTGATGATGATGATGATTGATGGAGAATGTAGAAAGTGAAATGTCTTACCACGGTGTAAGTGTTCATGATGCTTGTGTTGACGTCGAGTGGTGACTGTACCGTTTCGGGATGAACGCGACGTTTTTATACGGGCCGGAGTGCGCTGCTGTGCGTCGAAGAGGGGCACCAGCTCTTCGGGAGGCTAGGATGGGTCCGCGCACTTTCACGAGGATCCAGCCGACATCATCTTCATTTGACATGCTCTCTTCGCTTCTTCGCTCGTCTGCCGAGCGTTACAAAAAAAAGAAACCCACACGAATTTGCATCTTCATGAAGCACAAGAAAAAAAAACGCCATATTTGGTTATTAAACTAAAAATTATTAAATTCTCAGCAGACATTCGCCACAGCGAATTAATAATTTCTGGCACAATCGTAAAAGTACATTTTTTAGAAACTATTGGTCCATAAATCTCTTACTTAACAGTACTTTTATTTTGGTTTTTGCTTCTGTCAACGATTGAATGGACAAAAATTGTTTGCGTATGCAAAGAGCGTCCCACGTTTTTCTTCGATTCGGTGTATCACGTAAAAATTGTGCGCGCAATTTGCATTAGAAACGAATGTAATGTAATTTGCGCAAACACTTGAATATCGTCTTGTAAACGGTACAAGGCCATGCGGGACAAGTTGAAGTGCGCAATATGCAAACAAATTTTATTGTTACCGCAAAATATGTTCCAGTATAACGAATAAGCTGGCAGATGTGAGAGAAGATGCAATAGATGCAATATAACATGGTTGCGGTCATCGTGCCGATGCGTGCGGTGCATTGCAAGCTCGAAACTAGTTACTATAAGCAGTGCAAATGGCAAGTGCATTGGCAACCTAGGCATTTAATTCTTGAGCAATATCGCGTACGTTGTTTTAAGCCTGCGAATGGACATGCATCAGCCCGATCGGGTTAGAAACGCGATCGCGTTCAGGACCACCATATTTGATCAAGTTTAACACTTTCAGCTATCAAAAGAAGACATTTGTGATAAGTTATAAAAGTATGGTTATGTTCAACTAATTTGACAGTTTTTTTTAAATGAAAATGAGGTTAGATCTACCTACAAATTTACAAATGACTTAATTCAACATTAAATTTAATGGAATTTGTCTTTATCTAAAATTTCTCTATACTAGAGTTATTTATGGCTAACAATATGTAAAGTAAAATGTTAAAATGTCAAAAATAGATCTTTTGTTCGTCCAATTTGAACATTTAAAAAGTGAAACTCCAAACTCATGTTCTTGAATTCTTAAATATTACAAGTGGTCACCTTCGGAGAATAACCAAGAATGATGATGGCACAATGTGGCTGAGGAAAGTTGGCGAAAAAAAATGCTCTCAAAATTCGGCTGCTTTCGAACGTCCAATTTCTGGTCCGCCCAATATCAAGTTTTCAGACGTGTTTCCCTTGCGCGTGAAATCGATGACACTTTCCATCATCAAACAACATCAAAACATAATCAATGTACCGAATTGTTGTTCTAACAGTTGTTAAATCTAATTGAATTATGTTTAATTAGCAACAAGTGCGCAAGTCATTATAGAAAGTTACTACAAACATATTATCCCGATTATATTGTCTCCGAAGGAAAATATTGATGAATGACTGATAATAATACCAGATATAATCAAGTAGGTTATGTCATACGTGAAATGAATTAAATTCATTATGATTGAGCTACGAACGGAAGCAATTACAGGTTTATAAATTGTAAAACCATCAAATGCAGTTCGAAGTCTCTTAAATCTTAGAAATTAAAACCTAAAAGTCTAATACCGGATGTTCACATAATAATTTTGTTTATTCGAAAAAAATAAAGTACTTAAACAAGTCAAAATTGATTTGAAATTAGTGCAAGTTCCGGTCTAGAACGAGTTAATGTGAATTAAGTTGTATAAATGAACAAATTAATGAAAAAGTTGCTAAATATTTTAATTTAAAGTACGTGAGCAAAACTTATGTAATTTTCGGCTAAATTAATTATTTCTGCCAAACGATAAAATTTATATTTTAGGGGAAATGTTAATTTGAATAACAACAAAAATATTATATAACTTGACACATGCTTAAAATATTATAATATTCTACAGACCGTTTTAAATTGGAACTAATTTTTGTACAGATGTCTTTATTTTAAGTTGTCTTTTTACGATTGTTAGTTGATTACAGACATTTATCCAGAACAATAGAAAAATGTAAAATTTAAATGGTAGGTGTAGGCATGACGAAATTTTTCTCGTCATTTTTGAACGTTTCTTTGAGTTTTGTAAGGTACGTGAATTGAATGGCCAGCGATGCCCAGAAGGCAAAAGAAACTTTTTCACTTTTAATTTCAAACTCGCTTTTATCCGCTTCCTGTGCAGCAGGCCAGCAGCATGCTTATGCTGAGGACCGTTAAGTCTTCGTGTTCGATGGTCTTTTTATTAAACTTTATCCGAGCTTATGCTCTAATGTTCCACAATAACATATTATGGTCGTTTCGTGACACGGCTTCTTGTCTTGACATCACGCATGTTATAATTCTATGCCAAAAGATGAAATATTAACTCTGAAACTTAAAATAAAAAGAATTATTATTTATTAATGTTTGTATACATAAAAAACGTTTGCATATAGGCCACACACATTGCAAGATTATTTTGCGTACGTACATAAACGTTAATTGTTTTCTGAAGTTTATTTATTAGCTTAAAGAAGCAAAACAACGCAAATATGCAAAAAATGAGCTTCGCAACCACACACAATAGCCTAAACATGCATTGTTAAGCGCAAATAAATGTAAACCACAAAGGCGCGTAAAGAGCCAAGCTATCGATGTTGTTAACAGGATTATAAACGTAAACAACGCCTCGTAACATATGAGTTACTCATGAGAAAGTTGCGGCCGGCCGACAAGAAACGCAAGAAAACATGGAAATAACAAAGGACGATGGCGCAGAAAACGGCGAGAAAACACAAGCGCGCTATAAAACGTTTGAAAATCGAGGATAAAATGGGAAACTCACCAGTGACACACTTTTACAAACCAATCACGCATTTACATTTTAAAAGAAATAAATTACGCATTGTCTAAAACCATTACGTCACGCTTTATAGAACATCTCAATTTGTAGTTTTATGTTAAACACATAAACATACAATGCGTAAACCAAAAACTCCAATGTGCTCAATTAATTCATTTGCGAAACTCGCACGCTAACAATTGAATGTCAAAACTAATGTTTTTGTGTGAATTTCTTTCTTTCTTCTTATAATCATAATAATAATAATCGTGTCCTAATGGTTTTCATGCTATGTTGGTTTTCGACATCAATTGACACGACGCTTTTTTTCTGATTTCTTTCTCTTATTAGTTCAGATCGATTGAAGTTTGAAATCTATTTCGATGCTGATGATGAGATCTCGACGCGTTGCGTTGAATCACGTACGAATCGAGAATTTCCACGCGGCTTACCAAGATGATATTTAAAATCGAAAGTGCACCGCGGACTGGTCGATCTGGACCAGTGAGCAGTAATCCAATGCTCATCAAACTGTGTTTTCCTCTCGACGTGCGCATAACCAGAACGAGCAGCGACAGAAAACGTAGTTATGTGTTGTAATAATACCTGAAAACGAAATCAAGTGTAAGTGCGTTGAATCAACCTTGAAACACACAAAAACACGAAGAAAAAAAAAACGTAAAAGAAGAACAACGGATGATGACATAAGATGACCGCAATGCACATGAGATGATAAATCCTTTGTGATTGTTCACAGATTTGAAGAGTTTCTAATCGTGAAAAAATCATAAATCACAAGAGTTATTAATATCATTAGTCATTTGAACATTCATGAGGTTCATGAGGAACATTCAACATCTAAGAGGCATTGATTTACATTCTTGAAGTAAAAATTTGAAAGTAGTTTTATTTTGATGTTTGTGTTTACATGCACGTTCAAAATCGATGTAATGATGAATCTGCTTAATTAACGTCCCCAGCTGTGTGACTGTGCGACCTCTTGACCGCAAATTTTCGGCGTCGCCTTCAATTTATGTGTCGGACAGTTTAGAGCTTCTCGAAATTTAAGCCGAGGTGAGAAGAGACACGAGACAAGAGACAAGACGAGCACTTTCAAAAATGGTTAATTGCCAAAACACGAGCGCACAGCGTATTAATACAACTAATATTGGGACATGTTATTGATTCGAAGAAGCCAAGCGAGCTTTGTGTGCAGATAATGATAGATTAGACATGCGATGCTGCAACTACAATATGTTTTTTATACATTTAGGTACCTACATAATATCAAATTGTTTGACTCACGATATAGAGAGCGTAAATGGTGTCATTAGCACTCGATTATTGTGGCAATTTACGAGATTATTTACAAATATTATTAATGTTGATTTAGGAACAAAGTAAAAGGTACCTGTTGCTTTTTTCTTCTATTTTTGATACGCTAGCTAGGTTGTGTTGTCCTAGATAAACAAAACTATGATTTTTTTTTGTTATTATACAGTTAACATTGATTTAAAATAATAAAAATACAATACATTCACTAAAATGAAAAATGTTTCGTTCGTGAAATAAAAGTTTTAAAAAATTTACCACAATCAATAAAATAATGAATCGCAAAATCTGTTTTGTAAGCGTATAACTCAACAACGCCGAAATCAATTTGGCCAATTCTTTTTTTTTTAATGTTTGTTAAAGTCCAAGGATGGTTTTTACGTCAAGAAAAATTCGAATAATTGCCGGGAAAACCCTAAAGACAGCCCTTTTCTATAGGATAAAAGTTGGCATTGAGATTCAATCATAGTTATAGTTAAATAATTGAGTCTGAGATGGCGCGCTGAAGTGCATTATTAGTTATTCTTTCTATAATTAATTTTAAATAAAATTGCGAATCTTATTGATATAATTGACACATATTAATGTTTAGAACAAGAGAGTAAAAACAAATTACATTATTATTAAACACTATCGCGGGCAAACGCTAGTACACAAATAAAATAAAAATAAATTTTTTGAGATAAGTGTGGCATAAATCTAAGTGTGTAAATCA